TATGACCCCATTGGTCCCATAAGTTTGGATCTTCTTTTAAGTTTGAGTGGACGCCATTAGAACACTGATAGCAGATGAGTGATTTATCCGATTCACAGTTTTAAATAAATCACAGCAATTGCTCTGTGCAAGACTATTACAGAGTGGCCGGAGTGGGATCACAGGGTCTAGATAGGAGGCCCCAGACAAAGAACCGTGGGGCCTCAGACCCAAGTGATGGTAGATGACAATGTCTTCCCCAGAGCATCTAGGTGGGGAGGGGTAAACGTTGGAGGTCTCTGTCATAGGGCAGGGGGCTCTGTGTTTCTCCAGTGCGGGAAAGACAAGTAATTGTAGCTGCCATGTGCTTCCTCATCACACTGTCTTTCCCTGTGTCATCCTGTTTGTGAGCTTCAGAATATCCCTGATTATTCACTAGTACAGGTGCTGGCACTCAGATGGTCTCCCTGAGTCTGGGCTGGATTCTCCACTGGGTCCTATCAGAAGGGAGAGTGGTTCCAACCTGCTACCTCCTGCTGGCTTGACAAAGCTGTCCTCATTAATTAATGGTGTCCTCTGAGTTGAGCGTTAATTAGATAATCTGTTGCTAGTTATTTCACAGGGTGCAGGGTGCCCTCTATTTAAGCTGGGGGATAGTTAGATCTACAACAGAGGAGTGCTCAGAGCAGGCATCTTTCTTCATTTCGACTCTGAATAGAATTCTTTCATTTTTATTTGGGCCCTGGATATTCCATCAGAAGTCACCTGCCACTCTGTCTGCAGACTCTTGATTCCAAGTTTGCCTTTTTTCAGTCTTGCTGTAGCTCACTGTGCCCATGCCTGGCCACTGCTGCTGCTGCTGCTCTTGGTGCCCATTAACTCCTCTCGAAATGTGGCCAGTCTATCCCTTGGGCCCCTGTCCGTGCTTAATCACAGATACTCAAAACCCTAGTTTATGTGAAAGCTAAGGCCATGGTTTTTTTTTTTTTTTTTCCTTTTTTTTGGCCTCATTTTACAGTACAAGGAGATCTCAGAAAGTTTGTTGAAAGTGGAATTAAAATACACGTTAATTTTGGTGCAAACATTTTGGAAACCCATGCATAGTTTTTTTCATAAGAGCATTTTCCATAAACACATTGAAGATCTTTCCTAATTGTAGTTTGTAGTTTGAGTGGCTGATTGTCCTGTGTGTTCCTGGAGTGGCTGTCACAGATGGCTAACTCACTCTCCAAGCCCCTCACCAGGTCAGCCCTGAGGATGAACTCCCAGAGGGTACAGATGGGGCAGGTTCTGGGAAGGGCGGGTGCTGGGATATGTTCTGACACACAGGTCAAGGAATCCTACCTGGGTCGATGCCCAGCATCTCAGTGTGGCTTCCCTCTGCTGAGCAGGAAGAGGAAAGTGCTGCTTTTGCTGCCATGTCTGCCCCCCCTTCATTCCTAAGGAAACCAAACTCACTGGTGAGCAGATGGCAGCCAGGATGCATAAGGCTGAGAGGAGCCCAGCTGGAAAGGACGGTAACGAGAAGGAAGGAAGTACGCTCCCACCTCTTAGCACTTTGGCCTCTAAAAGCGACCACCATTCAAGGACTCAGCTCTTACTACCTTTGTCTTCAGCCTTTTCTGTTGGTGCTGGACCTGTTGGGACCATCAAGTGTGTGGCCGCTTCCCTCCATAACCTCTGCCAGGAGCATATAGCTTTACCTAGGGACACAGGTAACAGCTCCAGGATGGATGAGAAGGCTGCATGAACTGCACATGAGATGGATCGTGCCTGGTCAGTAACAGCTGTTACAACAGCAGCTTCCCCAACGCTCTTCTTGAGGCCAACACTTCAGCCAACACTTCATTGTAAAGGATGGTTTTGACACTTAAATAAATAGGGTGCATGTCCTAGGAAAATGGATTTATCTGAGCCCTGAAATAATTTGGGTCTTGGGTGGGCCTTTGCAACAAAAATTGAGGCCCCATTAGAGCACTGCTCCAGCTCTTGCTGCATAAGGCTCAGACAGTCATGAAAGCCCAAGATTAAAAACAAAGGTCATGAAGGCCAGACGGTGGTGCAGCACTAAAATATGGTGCTCTGGGAGGCTGACCCACATGGAAATGTTCCAGGTTCGCATCCACAGACCTCCCTAAGGACACTGGGCTTGTATGTGCCCAAGATTCAGGGCTGACTGGGGAAGGAGATAGAGCATGGTGTCAAAACCCTGTTGGGAGTGCTGTCTGTCTCTCTCACTATGGAAGAAATAATAAACTTTAAAAGATCATGAGAGATCTTAGTCAACCAGTTCATCCCCAGTTCCACAAAATATTAGAAAGAACATTGAAGTTCATCTATTCTTCTAGAATCTCTGATTGCACATCGGGGTTTCCCCCACCCCCACGAAACACATGCACACAAGCTCAGCTGGGATCTGTCTGGGTGGGTCCCCAGCATCTGCATGTTATAAAAGCACTCCAACCGATTCGAATGTGCAGTGGTGGAGAAACAGCACCTAGACAAAGAGCACGCCAGGCTCTCCCTCCTTCACCCTGTACTGGGTGCCTCAGATGGTAGGGCAAGCGCAGCAGCTTTTGGATGCTTTCCGGGGGGGTGGTGGGGGGCATGGCTCCTGGCAGGTGCCTCAGCAGTCAGAGGGCAGGACTGTCAGCACGGCCCTTCCCCTCCCCGCCTGCTTCCGCACCCCCTTCCAGGAGGTCACCCAAGGTCTCAGGGGAGTGGAAGTGTCTCAGTGACCCCACTCCATTCACTTCAGTTGGTCCAGACACTGTCACTCCGTTCTGGAACATTTACTGTCTGACCAGTGGTGTGTATCTATTTATCAGAAAAGATAACCTGGACAATCACAGGCTCTCTTTCTCTGGAAGCTGACTCAAGCAGTCCAGAAGGAAGTCACCAAAGAGTTGAAAGGTCTGGACACTTAGTACCTGGGCAGAATCCAAGCCTTGTGTCTGGCCCGAAAGAAGAGAACACAGACCAGAAACCGTGTGCAGGAGCCACAGATAGATGAGGTGGAGATGAAAGATTTAGCCCCTGGGACTCACAGATTGCCCCTCTACCCGAGGCCTGTTTGCTCAGCTTTTCTTGCTTCCTGGGAGACTTGTCGAGAGCCTTCGGGAAGCCCTGTTTTACTGGAGTCCGCCTTTGTATCTCCCGAAGCATCTAAGAGTGAGCACTTGCAAAGAGGGTAGCTCCTCTTTCATCTTTCTACATTTTAGCAGGCCAAGTAAGGTTTTGATTAGAATAGGGAAAAAGAAAGGATTCTGTAGCTAAGACACAGCATGGAAATTACTAGCCCAGTGACTCCCTATTTCACTGAAGGGGACATGGAGGCACAGAGCAGGTCTGCCTGGCTGCTTTCGTTGGCCTCTGTCTCAGTGGCAGCCAGAGGAGGGGCAAGGGAACTGCTGGAAAGAGCCACCTTGTCCTCTTTCCTCCCACTGCCTCTGCCATGACAGCAGGTGTGGGCAGGGAAGGCAGTGCTGGCGTGGGACATCCTGACTGCCTAATGACAGAGTATGGTGTCTGGTGAAGGCTCCTGGGAATGCTCCTGCTTGTCTTTGGCATAGATTGTGCTGCTCCTGCTTGTCTTTGGCATAGATTGTGCTTGGAAATGGGGTAAACCTTCAGCCCACAGGCCGAATCCTGGAATTCTCCTCTCCTCCCTCAACCCATAGCTTACCAGTCCCCAGAGGTCTCTCTGAACAGCTAGAGAGGCAGCCTTCCCTTCCACTAGCTAGACTTGTAGACAGAGCCACCATGGCCTGCCCCTCCACATTCTGCCTCTGTCCAGAAACCCAGGACCCAGCCATTTGCAGAAGGGACATAAGCTGGGCATTTGCAAGGGTGCCTGGAGTCTAACTGGCATCTGTTCCCATCAGTAGAACCCATTCTTCCTTCTATATTAACTTTCCTAATTCCCTCTGTTCATACCTGATTCCTTTCTATGGAGCCCCACACATCGTCTGTCTACCTCTCTCTGAGGACACACAACGGACATAACCCAGGGGTTAACTTCAGCTCAGACTGAGATTCAAACAAGGAGACCAAAAAGCACATCTTAGTTCTTAAGGATAAAAAAGAGGTACAAGTAGATCCTGGATTAACTTCTACTTCCCACGGACTGGAGCCTCTTCCGCAGACAGAAGCCTGTTTCTGCACAGCTATGCAGTTCCCTTTGCATACGGTTCCCTTATGAGGACACTGGCTCAGTTCTGTCGGCTTACTGGGAGACAGACGTAAGAGCAGATTCAGCCCTGTTCCCAGCATGGCCCTAGAGGAAATGGAACAGCTTTGGGATTTGTAAGTTAAGGGTGAAGACAGGTTTTTGAAGGGAAATTACCCAGGCAGCGCCTCCTTTCTGCACCAAAAGGCAGGGCCTGGATATGTCATATGCCTGAGCACTTCCTGAGTTCTTGCTCCCTCTAGGGTTAAGCTCTCTGCATGCCCTAACCATGAGTCCCAAAACCATTTCTTTCCTTTTTTTTTTTTTTTTTTGTTGTTTTTGGAGATTTTTTTGCTATAGGGTGCGTGCGCTTGCCAGAAAGACAGAGAGAGACAGAGAGATGGAAAGCGAGAAGTCACCCCTCAGGGGGAATGGCCATACCACAATCCCTTCTCCATTCTCCTCTCAGGATCTTGGGCTCACATACACACGCACCCGGCATGAGTTTAAGCCACTGCGTCTGGGACTTGAACCTTGGTCAACTACATGGGAGTCCAGTGACAGAGCCATTATGCCAACTACTGGTCCTGAGTCCCCAAACCATTTCTATAGTGTCTCTTCCATACCACACAGTCCGATCCCTCCAAAGGTAAGGATCATGTCCTTTGCATCCCCAAAGGCTGGTGCAGTGGTGAGTTGCAAGAGGAACTCAGAGGCTGTTTGAGGAATTAATGGCTGAGTGAAGGAGAAGAGCTCAAGTCAAGTCATGGTCCCATCTACCATGCCCTCTAGCAGTGTCCAGAATTCCAGCAACCAGGACCTGTCCCCCATAGTCCCACACCGGTGGCCTTACCTCCCATGAGGAAGAGAAGCCCCGCCACATACTGCATAAGGCCTCGGTCCCAGCAGCAGCCCAGCACGCCAATGATCCAGCCGAAGAGGATGATGGCCACCGCCATGCCCATGAAGCCGGCCGTCATTCTGCGCAGGTCTGTGGGGAAGCAGGGGCAGCAGTCAGCATCAGACTCAGGGACTCAGTGTCAGGGTGCACCCTGGCCCAGGGACCAGGGGACAGAGGGTGGGGCAAGGCAGGGAAGGCAACCTGCCTTATTCAGACAGGCTCACACAAGCAAGCATCCTTCGCAGAGGAGAGAGACCCTGGTGGTGACTGTCCTACATGCAAAAACACGCCAGGACAGCTCGGTTCCTAGGCAGAGGGGGGCCATCACACTGCAGTGGTCACTTCTTTACACCTCCTTTGTACTTACTAGGCATGATGCCATCCTTCCACACATCTGTCTCAACTGCTGAGACAGGTACTGTCTTTACCCCTATCTGCACACTGGAGCAAGTTGTTAAAAGGCATTTGGCTAGGAAGAGGCAAAGCAGGGACTTGATCCCAGAGTGGTACAGCTCCTGGGACCTTGCCATAGCATCATTCAGCTGCTCCAAGGAGAGAGAACTCGAGAATGGACTGCTGGAGTTGGGCAGGGTCTTGACAAGACTGGCTTCCCTCTCCTCCCTCCGGGATTTTGCTGGTTTCTTAGAGGCCATGTGAGAGGACAGGCTGCCAGTTTGGGGGTTTGGTGTTCTGTTCCTACCTCTCCAGGCTGGCTCATGTGGCTTCCCTGCCTGCAGGGCTGCACTTCTGCTCTCAGACTGAAGCCTGGAGGAGGCCTCCTTTCTTGCACTTGCCTCATCCCTCCACCCAGGTCAGCCCATAGTCAGGCCCTTCCCTGCCCCATGCTTTGCTGATAAAGCCTGCTATGGCTAGAGAGAAATAGGGTTGTCTGAAAGGGTAGAATTTTTACTGGAGGGAGGTGGGCAGAGCTGCTGCCATATCCCTCAGGCCACTCAGCATCTTGCTGTACTTGGCTTCCTCCCTGTTTTCCACCCTAGTCCCCTCCCCACCACCCCACCCCTGTGTACTCAGAGGCAGCCAGACCAGCTGTCGTACCCTCCAGTCCATAGGCCTTGTCCCACCAGCCCCCATGGGTCATCTCCCTGCCACTTCCTCACCTCACACTCCTTCCCTAGAAGCTGGCCTTCTCCCTGGGGAACACCACAAACCCTGGCCATGCTACTCACTCCTCCTACCTGCCCCAGCTCTGCCTAGAGCTCCCTGGACTTCTCTCCATCCATGGTGCCCCAGCCCCTCCATGGGGCTCCAAACAGGAGCGAAGTCATTTCACAGGCCCTGTCCCAGGATCTGTGTTCCTCAGAAGGATTGCAGAGTCGCCTGGACGATCCCCATGGCCACTCTCCTCTTTCAAAAGAAGGGGTACTGCTTGAGGGTAGAAATGAGGGTGCCCTAAAGAAAACAACACTCCATGGAAGCACACCAGCTGCTGCCCAGATAGTCTCTCCTCATCCCTAGGAAATAGGAACCCTGAGGGTTTCTGTGGAGAACATGTTGGAGTCCACACATCTCACAAGGAGGTCCTCAGTCATGCCAGCCACCTTCTCAGGAACCAGGCGGAGCAAATGAAAGGATCCTGGGCACAGCTTGGCTTGAGGCTCCTCTGTAGAGGAATCTGGTCCTCCTCCTTGTCCCAACATTGAAGATCAATGGCACTGGCAGTCCCCCACCCCTTCCTAAGAAGGGGAGTGGGTATTTAACTGGGGAGTGGGGTGGGATGGGGTGCAGAGAGGGAACAACACTGACTCTTCCCTCGGGGCAGAGAGTCCTGCAGACAATTAGATAGACTCTAGTCACTGGCACATAAGCAGAACTCCTGCACTGCCCAGTCCTGCTCTGTCTTCCCGAATCAGCCCAGCCTGCATGCCCCTCCAGCTGGGAGTACAGGCAGGAGGGCTGCTCATTAGAGTCATTTACGTGAACACCAAGGATGCCTAATTATCAAGCAGCGCTGATCAGCAGACTGCTCATACTGTCATACGTGTTCGGTGGAACTTTGTCGAAAGTGTTATTTGATACAACACTCACATGAGAGCCATGCTCCACATAGTCAGCCACAGCCAGCTGGAAATGGAGAAAAAGGAGGCACGGCTCCGTATCAGACTACCTGTGGTCACCCAAATGCTCTCTCCCCTGCCCCCAGCCTCTACCTCAGTTCCTTCTTTCCCCACCACCACAAAGAACTCTTGAGTGACCAGGGTCTAAACTGCCCGCTTAGTAGAGAAAGGTCCCCACACCTGACATATGGACCCATTTGGACTGATTCCTTAAAATGAGAAATTCTTTGCAGGGAACCAGCAGTTAGCGTAATGGCTATGTCGCTTGACTCCGACGTAGTCGACCGCGGTTCGTGTCCCGGACCTGGTGGCTTAAAACTCATGCTGGGCGCATGTGCGTGCGTGCCCAAGATCCCGAGAGGAGAATGGAGGAGAAGGGATTGTGGCGTGACCATCCCCCCGGGAGGGTGATTTCTCGCTTTCTGTCTCTATGTCCCTCTCTGTCTGTCTGGCGAGTGCACATGCCCTATAGCGAAAACCTCTCAAAAAAAAAAAGAGAAACTCTTTGCTATCAAATGCATCTTCTACTCTCCACTGTCTTCCAGGACAAGAAGGCGGTGGGAAGAGGAAAAGAAAAGTCAGTTTATTTTCAATGTAAAAAAGAGTTCTTTTCAGGAAGCACGAAAAGTTGTGACTTTTCTCTTTGGGGCCCTTCCCTTTTTGGTGCACAGAGGGTTTCTAGGGAAAGTTCTAGCCCTCTGGTAGCCCAAGAGGACAACCCTGCTGAGCCCCTCCCTGGTACAAGCCTGACTCTCACATGACCTTGCTCATTGGAAGACATGTCTGGTCCCCACAGCCCAGCAGACCCATGGGCATAAAAGCACTTCCTGGAGGATTAAGTAGATAAAGAGTCACGTAAGCTGTGTCCACTTCAACCAGGGATAGAAAAGTGGGCTGGGTGGAAACACAAAAGGAAAATGCAAATCAGAAAAAGAGGGAAGACAATAGGTGCTGGAAGATGAAAACCAAGTGTTTCACTTAGAAGAAAACAGAGCAAAAAGCAGAAGGACAGGGAAATGGGGAGAATATGTCCTCTCTCAGCAGTTCTGAGGCAGACACTAGTCTGTGTCCCAGGGCAGCCAGGTTATTGCCTTCTAACACGGATTATGTCTACTTTGCTGTCTTCCAAAGAGCTTTGTTAAGGAAGCTGAAGGGTGTGCTAAGTTGCTGATCTGGAAACAAGGATGAACACCAGAGGTTATGCCTGTGTGTTTTCACTGACCCAGAAGGATTTTCACATCACGCATTGAGCTTGCTTTTCCAGAGCCTTGCAGGAATAGCTTAGCTGCTATCTTAGACCTATGTAGAACCCAGAGAAGTTGTAACAACTGATCAAGTAGGCAAGACGAGAAATAGCTCCACTTTACAGACAAGGAAAGCAAGAGCTGAAGATGTAAAATCATTTATTGACAAACAGTCTCAAAACTAGTGAACTATAAGAAGACTGAGATGCCATTATTGAGTTATGTGAGAAAATAAAATAAATAATGTATTAAAGATGGACTAGGATATATTAACAGATCAAGCAAATGTTATCTAGCATTTCTTCCTCCCACACCAAGATAGAATATGGTTAAGAATTTTTTTTTAAGAAATCTACAAAGATGGAGCTCATAGGAAAGCAGTGATGACAAGAAAAGACTGGACACTGTGGACTGATGGACAGAACCAAGTACAAGAGCCAGATGGAAAGCCAGTCTCGGGGCAGCTGAAAACCAACCTGCAGAACCCCCCACAAGGTTCTGAACTGGCATCATCAGTTTCCTTTGAGTCAGCTGGTTAAGCAGAGGAGAGAAAACTATGACATCCCCATATTGGAACATAAAGGCATCATTTGTCATTTTCATTGTTTCTAAAGACTTTCCTTTTTGTTTACACTTGAGCCAGTGTCACCTGTCACTCTGCCTGTGGAGTGACCCACCATCTGCCTTAATTTGAGTGTCCATCTTAGTCTTTGGGAGTCAGACACTCCCAGAGTGCCTTTTTAATTCTTTGTGACTGCTCTCTGTGCCTGCAGCAGCATTTCACACTCAGAACCTTACATAGCTGGTGTTTCTTTACCTATCTTCCTGCCTTTGTAGGACAAACAAAACAAAATAAGAATTAAAAAGAGGGAAAAAAAACTAAATCACCTAACTCTGAGACCTTGCAAAAATCTTATGCAGCGCTGGCCTAAGAATAATCTCCTTGCGGGAACCAGCAGTTAGCGTAATGGCTATGTCACTGGACTCCCACGTAGTCGACCGTGGTTCGTGTCCCGGACCCGGTGGCTTAAAACTCACGCCGGGCGCGTGTGCGTGCGTGCCCAAGATCCTGAAAGGAGAATGGAGGAGAAGGGATTGCGGCGTGACCATCCCCCCTGGGGGGTGATTTCTCGCTTTCTGTCTCTATGTCTCTCTCTGTCTGTCTGGCGAGCGCACGCGCCCTACAGTAAAAATCTCTCAAAAAAAAAAAAAAAAAAAGAATAATCTCCTTGGTAAGCACCCAGCATGATGAGTTTGACTTCGCAGGCACAGGCTGATATGAAGAAAAATCTTCTGGATCGTGTTGGGTTGGAGTCTATTATCTGTATTCTTTGACCCTAACATTTAACATTCTAATTTTTGAAATGAGAAAGGTGCATTCTAAACTTTTTAAATTCAGTTCAGTGTGGTGGAAAGGAGTGGGCAGAGGGAGGTTGATAATGAGCGAGGGTGGAGGAGAAAAGGCAAGAAAAACCATTAAATAGAACCAGAAAAAGCAGTTCTCTCTCGTGAAAAAATTCTGATTTTGAAGTTTACACTCTTATTAACATTTAAATTGAAAGGTATTGCTTGCAACTCTACACAGGGAACCAGGATATCTGCATTTAAATAAACACCACTTAGTAAAGGAAAATATATATTGGGCTCTGAATATCTTTCTATTTGCTCTTTAAAGACCTTGCACAGAAAAATGATGATAATTAGGGTTTTTTTCCTTCTCATTAGAAAGACAGAAATGGTGAGGGTAAGTATAGGTTAGACCTTGCTGCGA